ACATCAACTATGTCAAATGAAAACAAAGGGCACAAAGAATGTGGACATAAGAAATCATTTGAAAAGAAAACTACTGAAGAAGATGAATTTAACCCGGGACTTATGAATGTGAAGTTCTGGTTCATACTGTTGATGACTCTGATAATGATATTAATCAATTCAGTCAGCTCCTATTTCACCGAAAAAGAATGTTCAGGAAACCAAATCCGTGATGAATCTGAAGATGAATCTACTTTGGGTTTTTAGATACTGAGAGCGCAAGTCAAGCTGCATCTGCTCTCTCACTTTCAACAAACCCAGAACGCAGCCAAAGAGAAACCAAGACTGATTGGAGTCGCAGAGCAAGAAATCAGAGAAAATTGGAAGCCGCTGCGGTCAATTGCCACAAAATTAATGAATATTTTTCTCTTCGTGATTTGACAAGTGTGCTTCAGGAAAATAATGCTTTAAATTGAAACTTGATGCAATGTCTAAAGATCTAGAGAAACAGAACAAAACATCATCAAAAGGTAAACTGAGCAACTTTTTGAAATTCCTTCTTGCCGCCTCTGAAAGCAATGCAGAAGAGACCCTCATGGTCGAAGATTTTTCCTAGAATGGAAACAATTCTCTGCCTACATGTTCCAAGTTGCTGGTCGAAAATTTATAACTTACTCTATGTTAACTTGCCAGGAGGCCTTCCATGTATATCTGTACTCCAGAGCACCATTTCCAACAGCAATGATACTCTGAAGGAGGGCGAGATCAGATTTGACTTGGTCGCTCAATATCTGGAGAAAAGAGGATACCCCAAGATGATCATAATTGGTGAGGACGGAACAAGGATCATCTGCAAGGTTCAGTACGACTCAGCAACAAATCAGCTGGTAGGACTTGTCCCTAAATTAGATGAACGAGGCCTTCCTGAGATAGGAGCATTTCCTGCAACATCTGCACCTGTAATCAAAAAGCACATTGAAGAAAATACCCTCAGTAATCATGGCTATTGTGTGATGGCTCAACCCTTAGCTGATGGAGCAGCACCCATTTGTCTATCGTTATTTGGATCTAATAATAAGTTTGTTGCATTAGATGTCTCCAGAAGGTGGAAATACCTCCAAGATGAAGCAGCAAAGCATGGCATCACAGTTCTTGCTCATGCCTCTGATGGCGACACCCGGCTCATGAAGTGCATGCAAAATCTAACATTTTCCACATCAGCTGGCAAGTTTGGATCATGGTTTAAGTCTGACTCCTCTTCTAAAAAGTGTGCATTCAGGATTATATCCACATAGCTACAAAGCTAAGAAACAGACTTTTAACCCCATCAATTTTGCTTCCGCTGGGCTCATTTCTTGTTTCACCTGCTGACCTCAGAGTACTTATAAAAAATGTGAGTAAAGACCAGCATAATTTGTGTCTAAGTGACTTAAGTTCCCAAGACAAAATGAACTTTAGGTCAATAGAAAAATGATGGAGAGAAATGTTTGCCGCCTACTGAAGACAGAGTTCCTGGAAGCCTTGGGACAGCTACATACCTGAAAATGACAAGACAAGTCGTGGCTCATATAAGATAAAATGTTGTCACCACTTCAAAGAATAATTTCCATTTGGCGGTGGGTTTTCTTTCTCAGGTTGTGGCGTGATTGGTTGATAAAAATAACTACAATCCTCAAGATAATTTCATCACCAGCAATGCCTATTTTTGTATGAAATTAATGCACACTCATTAATTATTCTTATCATCACCTTGCGTGACTTAGCAGAAGATGATTTGTTCTTCCCCTGGTTATTTTCCAGTCAATGCTGTGAAGCATTCTTCCGCCTTGCTCGCTTACTTACTTCAACCCTGACTACAGTGGTAAATTTTACCATCTTGGAACTTTTACACCGCATCAGAAGGAAGATTTTCAAGCTGACGTTGAGGCATCGCTGGGTGATACATTTACTTTTCCCTCCAGTCGACGCTCAACTAAGTCCAGGCAGGAAGTGCCTCCAAAATTTCCACTGCCAAGTGATGAAGAAATTATAGATGCAGTTGCCCAAGCGGAAGCTCTTGCCTTGAAGACAGCTCAGAAGCTTGGAATGGAATCAAGCATTATTCCCGAACCATCTCTCTCTTTCGCTTCGTTTCCTGTTGATGAGGACCTGGATAATGATGGCTCTCTGGTGGAAATGGATGCAGAGGAAGAAATAAGTGAAGATGAGATGGGTCTTGCGGATGAAGAAGCTATAGAAATTTCTGAAGATTTGTGCGTGGTTTCAACTGGAGCTATTGGTGTCAAAACCTGGGAAAATGTGAGTTTAGCCCCAAACAGCATGTATGTCAAAGTGGCAGATGGCTTCAAGCAACCTGTGATAATTAAGAAAAAAAACTTTACTGTACATCTGGAGTCAAGAAGGCACAAAACTTAGTAGTGACAGGCTTCATAGAGTTAAGGTGCAGAGGTCCATCACTTATCATCGAGAAATTCTGCTGAGCTTGTTCAATCAGTAATCAAAGCTGAGTGCATAAATGAAGGTGATTGGTGTGCCTTTGCTACAGCTGACAAGAAAACATTTTTGGTGGGCCGTACCATTGCCTTTGGATATCTCTCTGGAAATACGAACAAAGAACTGCAATATTCCAGAAATTTTGCTATGGTGAACACTCCTAAAACTGAGAAGAGTGTAGGGGTCCTCTGTGCATGGTATGCCTTAAGGGCAACTCATTAGTGCCTGACTTAACCTTCTCTCATGGATTTCATAATATTTCATTCTATGTATGTACTCTTCCGAGGCCAAACCAAGATGCTTCATCTCTTAGCTTGGATAGAAAGGTTGCACAGAGATGAGATCTCTGTTCCGTTCTTTTAAGTCAAGAAGTAGTTTTTTGTGATCCTTTTCCTAATGACTTTTCTAATAAGTGTTTAGAAAGATTTATGGTAATTTTACTGCTGCTTTTATTTGGTCTTTGAATTTTAGAATAAGCTCAGTGCAATATTTTTTTTTAGTTTTACCTGTAAGTTAGCAACATACTAGTCATGCTAACATAAGAAGCATTGGTTTAGTGACAAATATTGTTTTGTTTATTTTTCCACTGACTTCAGAGACCTGAGTAGTATTTAAAGAGGGTATAGCAGTGTTTTATTGATAAGTGCAGCTTTAAGACTCAAACGTGATCGTTTTCCTAATGACTTTCCAAAGGACTGTTTAGAAAGGTAAAGTCCTAGAGATAACTTCTAACATTACCCCCCCATTTTATAAATATTTCTTTGTAAATAAAATAATTTACGAATGAAATCTTTTTTAAGGGTTTCCGGGGAGATACCCTCCTGGACTTACCCCTATCATCGTCATATTATATCATATATATAGATATTTATAGATATATATAATATATATATATTATATATATATCTATATATATATTAATTAATATACAATAATTAATAATTAATAATATTAATTATTAATTAATATGATATATTAATATATAACTGAATTATATATTTAATATTAATATATTAAAGTATAATCTATGTATACAAGCAGGCGAATGGGCACAAGGTACACACAATCCGGTCGTGATGAACACTTGTTTGAACAGATAGAGACAGCTAGCCAAAGACATCCTAGCGAGGTCTAGACCAGACTAGACTGTCTAGACGAATCCGTTAGCCTCTAAGTTTCTCATACAGACTACGATAGCCTCGCATCCAGAACGCTCCGCCGCGGTCTCTCCCAAGAGCCCTCCCGGGTGCAGCTGCGATGGCAAGCACAAGCAGAACAACAAACCCAGATACGCGAAATCTGATGAGAGGTCCGAAGGCAAAGACACATTTATTACATCTATAAGAGAAAGACCTTTCTTTCGATCAACTTTAGTATTATAGGCCGAGTCAAGAAGGGGAAAACTCATTGTCTGTACGTTCTTCACAGAGTTTTGCTTTGATTACTCGAACAAGGAGCCTTGTCGCGGTGAGTAGGGGTTATGTGAGTCCATTGGTAATTCTCTTTTTCTATTCTGGACTAATATCTCCGTCACCGGGTACTGTCTTGACGCATTGGTCACTATCTCATCTGTCGCAGTTTCTGTACAGCTCGAAGAGTCGCTCATGCTGTTTCAGATTATTCTCTACCCCCCCTATTGGTGGTAGCATTAATCCAAGTCTAATTCCAAAGCAATAGGAAACGATTAGTCTATTTAGTCTACCAAAAAGAAGTGCTTTTTTGTATTATACAATTATCAGGTTCAAATTAATTGTAACTTTCTGGTAACATTCATACTGTGTGTATCTTTTTCAGGTGAATTGTAGTCATGGTAGTTTTGATGCGTACTGTGAGCGTGTTCCAACATTAGCAGGAAGATAACTTTTGTTTGATTGCATATAGCGTGTTTTAGGCTTGGTTTAGGCTTCCCCTCCAGGTAAGAAAGAAAATCATTTCATTGTTTAATGTTTCATAATAATAAATTACAATCAATTCATGTTCTTGTCTCTTTGCAGTGCCTCAATTTGGAGTCAGTGTTCGACCTTCGTACTGGTTCAACAGTGCGCTGAGAGTCTGCTGTTTATGAGTTGTTTTGAACTGTGAAGATGAAAGAGATCCCAAGGTAAGGATTATATTTAAACTTGCTGTTTTGTTTACTGCAATCTCAGGTACCAAGGTTTGTCTTTTCCATGAATAATTGGAAAAAAGAGTGGTTCATAGATGATTGTTGCCACTTAAAATTATTGTTTCAATTTGAACATGCAAATTCTTCTTGATTTTGATCCCTCGCTCGTTGGACACAATTACATTTTTTAATTCTTCCAATGGCTTACTGATGGCACTAAGGAAAAAAGTGCCTGCTTTTTTTTTTCTTGAACTTCTGAGGACTGTTGAAATCAAGGCATGTTCCTTCTTGGTAGCCTGCATAGTGATAATCCTAACAATCAGCTTGCTGTTTAATTATTTTTTTTATTAATTGAACATTCCTTTCACAATTTGTATTTCTGTTTCAAAATGTGCTTGATTGTTAGAGAGGAAGTTTCAAGACTGGATTGTCTAACTGGAATACACTCACCCCCTGCTTGAGTGAGGACTGGGTTCATAAACCTAACTAATCAAGCGCGTGGAGGGCAAGCATGGTTTACAATGCACAAACCTTTAGTTCTGGTAAGTTTTACCATATTTTTACCTTTGATGCATTTTCCTGATGTGTTGAGACTATGCTTTCTAGACCAAACCTTTCTTTATAGGTTTGCCAGAGTTTGTTGCTGTATTTCATATTTGTGTATCTCAAATCACTCAAATTCAGTTTAGGAGAGGAATGGACAGTTCTTGAGTGATCCTGTTGTGTTTCAATATTTGAAAATGGAGACTACTTGTATTGGTGACGCTTCAAGGTATGTTATATTGCCACTGCTTGTTTATTTCAGTGTGAAAGTGCACATTTTTATTTTTATCCTTTGTTATTGGTTCCATGCACGCTGGGATTCAAGTAACAATTTGGTTATTTGAATCTCTTCGTACTGCTGCGCTGCTTAGGTGGTTGTCATTGCGTTCAAAGGACCATCCTGCGGAGACTGGACATTTAAGTAAAAATGTCCACAGGTAATTATGATTTTACATTTATCGTACCTTGTGTTGCTGCACTAGTTGTTTTTCTTATCTGATTCATTTTATTTTATTTTTTCAGAATGACCTTTATGACATTAGCATGACATTATTGGCTGTAGTTCTTTCTCTAAAGTATGAAATTTCTCCTAGTTGTAACTTGTTCAACTTCCCACAAGACCCTTACAAAACAAATGTAAGAAAAGACATTGGTATTGCTCTGCATTGCTCTTAGCTTTGTCTTTTGTCTCTGTATTCCATGCAGTGGTAATTGTATTGTAACTTGTCTTAATGTTTGAACATGAGGTCTCCTGATATTAAATGTTTGTTTGTAGGCTGTGCTGCTCCTTGAATTGTTGAAGTACTGAAATATTCAAGACTTGTCTTGATTTCCCTCTGGCAAGAGGGAAGAAGAGGAGAAATAGCACTACCTCTTGTGTAGTGCAAGAGTGGCTTGGAAATGATGAACTCAAAGTTGTGAATGAATTCAAGTAAGGTTTTATCTACTTCTTATCCTTTTACTGTGTATGCCTCATCAGAAACTCTGAAATGTTGGATTTTCAGGTGGCGGAAGGAAATGGACAGGACGAACTTATAACAGACTGCCCCTACACTGGATTTCTGAAACATCGTGTTTACCTTTATGTCTTGTTTTTTTTCTACTTCATGTTAGCAAAGTTGTTTGAGTATGGTAGTTTAACCTTTATAGCATGTGAGTGTAGCCTGGTGATAGCTAGTGATAGCCAGCTTCAAAATGTAATTTTCAAGCCCTTGGAGAATTATTTCCGTACTTTAATTTAGTCTGGTTACTTTTGAAAGGTTGTTTTGAATTCCCTTGACCATACTTGCCAGGTCCTGTAATATTTAAATCATAATGATAATTTTTTTATGTCTGTATTTTTTCCTTGCAAAGTAGCTCACAAATTTGCAATATCTGTTTGCCCTCTGTAAGAGTGTCCTACCTGTCGAAGTGGTTTTGGAATCCTGTGTACTTTGGCACAACTGTCATGTTTACTTTCGTGTTTTTATTCCACTTATTGTCAGCAAAGTTGTCTGAGTAGGGTAGTTTTACCTTTAAAACATGTGACTGTATCTTGTCTAGGAGATTTGTACCCTGCTTGCAGTCCAAGTCTAAGTTCAATTCGTCTAATTATCTTAAAGTTTGCTTTATTTTCCTTGACCATACTTGCCATTGTGAGTGTTCCTTTAATATTTTATCAATAATAATCTATTTTCGTTTGCATTGTTTTCTTTATTCATATCTTACATGCCTTCATTTTCATTCGCATGTTGTGCTATGTGTCAGAGCAACTACTTTGACATCTGTTGCTTTACTGGTCACACGAGGTTGCCTTCATTCACAATTACATAATGTCACTACTATTGGTCTGGAGGCGGTCATAAACATGTGACTATCAACTATTCCAACCTCGGACAGTGGTCCTAGCCCATTAACAGAAATGCTCTATAAATCAGAAGTTGTCACCGAAAGGTATGAAACCAGAAAGTAATTAAAAATGCTCTCTTCGGCCCATTGAAGCAAATTGGTATGCAAGTTGCACTTGGAAAAGAAAATATCAACTTCAAAAGGAAATACAGAAACTGGAATCATTCTAAGCCATGAGCCAGTTTGCAATCAAACTGGAATGTTTTATTGGTCTTTAAAATGTGCTTATGACACCTGAGTCTTCTTTCCTGCCTTTAAGAAAGTTTGGAAACTGTGGGTAACTTGGTATGAAATGTGCCGAACAGAACTGTGTTAGTGTCGTGTGTGTAAGCTCAAACCATGTTGTCCTGAAAATTTCAATTCCCATTAACGTTTACCATCAAAAGATGCTGGTTGAATTGTCTCTGAAAATTCAGGCCTGAATGCCAGAAAAAAACACTTCATCGGGATGTTCATCTGGCCAGGACAGTAGGGAAAAAAGAAATCAAAGATTGATAATTTGTATTTATTTTTTCACTTTGAACAGGTCGTCATGAATTTGAAAACTTCCTCACACATAACCAAATTACAGCGGTTGAGCGGTTACGTAGTACCACTTTCGTGTTTTTGCAAAGAGTTACAAAAAAATCTTCCTGCATGTTTCATTAGGACAGAAAGTCTTGAAAAAAAAATTTCGGTTACTGATATTTTTTTAAAGCCTATTTTGCAAGTTTCACCAGGATCCCCCCTCACAGATGGCCTTCATGAAAGCCACGGAAAGAGACAGAAAGAGGAAGAAAAAGACAGCTGCATTGAAAGCTCCCATTATCACTTTAGGAGAAATGTGGGATAAGTCGGATAAGTACGACGAAAGAAATGGGGCTGGACGACTGCACTGTGACTGACTAGTCCTGACTGTTGCGGCTATGCCCGTTTGCCGCCCGCCAACTGACGGCAAAAGTGTAACGAGGCGTCGAAGGCGTGACCTGGGCGTGACGTACGGCCGATCCGGGCAGGCGGAGGAGCGCCTGCGGACGCCAGGGTGGGCCAGCCCGCCACGCAGCGGTGCCGAGCGGGAGGCCGCGCCGGGGAAGAAAAAGTAACCGAAGAAGGGGTTGGCGTGTCCGGTGTGTGGTGCGAACCCACGCCCCCAGACGGGGATCGGAGCTAAAATCTAGCGCCGTAGATCACTCGGCGCCTGAAATCCTGGAGCCGCGGATTCGCGGCATCGCGCACCGTTGAGTCAAGACGTGTGACGCAAAGACGCTATCATCATCATCAGCGCTGTTAGGCGTATGCAGACCTTTAGCGGTTCTGGTCAGCAAGACACTCCGACCTCGCGCGACCTCGCCGCAACCTCAGATGCGGTAGGATTTCAGCATAGTCGAAGTGGCCGCTGCCATACTGGGGAGCATGGGGTCAGTGCGCGCTAGGCACGAGTGCATAACACACACATCACGCATCGACAGTATTCGACTGCCAACGGGGGGGGGGGGCGACTGCAGTTGGTGGAAGACAGACCCGAGGTGAGGCTGGAAACAGGTCGGCTCACCACTACGCTGCGTCCGGCTGACCCGTCCGTCGGCGCTTCCTCGCCTTCGCCTCGTCGCGGCGTTCCTCATGGGGGTCCGGCTGCCTCAGGATGGCGACGGATAGGCAGCTGCCCAGGCGTCCCGGTCCATCGCGGCATCCCTCCAGTTGTCGACGTCGAGAGTCGCGCGCTGGGCAGCCCGGGTGGCCAGCGGCGCGGAGCCACGCTCCACGTGCATGGCGTACTGGGCGCGCCGGTAGCGGTGGAAGTTCAGGATGGGTGGCACCTCGGTGATGTCGCGGACCTCCTTGTTGGTGCGCCACACCTTCTTGCCGACCCGCCGCTTGTAGACCGACTTGGCGACCCTTCGGAGGACGTTGTTTTCTGTCCCCGCGACTTGCCCTTGGTGTTTGGCGTTAAGCACCCACGTCTCGCATCCGTAAGTGATGGAGGGCTGGATGACCGAGGTGTAGATGCGGGTCTTAACGCACCGGGAAAGCCGCCGCGACTTCATCAGCGACATCAGCGAGAAGTACGACCGCATCCCCGCGGTGCACCGGTTGCGGATCTCGGCGTCCAACTTGTTGTTCTCCGCGACCATGCACCCCAGGTACTTGAAGGCCGCGACACGGCGGAACGTCATGCCCCCGACCCTGACGGAGCGGCCGTGGGCGGGGTCCGCCGCGTTGCGGGCCACCACCATGTATTCCGTCTTGGGGGACAGCTGGAGGCCGAACCGCGCCGCGCCGTCCTTCATCCTCTCGGCGAGCTCCACGAGGTCGTCCTTGCGCTTCGCCAGCACCGTCGTCGGCGAAGGGAAGGAAGATGGGGCGGCGGAGGTTCGTTGGGCGCTCGAGCTGGTGGAGGAGGTGGCCCACCGCCGCCTCCAGGGCGAGGTTGAACAGCAGGGGCGAGAGGGGGTTGCCCTGCTTGACCCCGGAGGCGACGCCGAAGAAGTCCGAGAGGCCTTCGTGGCCATGCAGATGACCGGCAGTCAGAGCGACATCGCCGTCACGCTCGGACACCAGCAGCTGACGCCAGCCCCGTCCCGGCCATCGATGAGGCAGGCAACGTTTCCGAACTCCAGAGGCAAGACGGACTACAGTTACTACCGGGCTGCCAGCCGCCCCGTGTCCGAGTGGGCCGAGTCCCTGGTGGCGGCGCGCTGCGGGAGCCGGCGAGCCCCGTACTGAGCATGCTGACGGCGGCCCAGCTGACCAACCTCAACGAGCTGGACAGCGCGCTGCAGACAAGGTGCGGGAGGCCTCGACCGCGCAACATCGCTGTGCAGAGCCTGAAGGTGGCGCGCCAGCAGCCCGACCAGAGCCTCCGGGAGTGCGGGATGCAAATCGACCTGCTGTGCCGCGACGCATACCAGGACGACCCCATCGTTGGCCACCAAGCGTGCTGCACAAGCTGGTCCTCGACAACTTCTTGGCTGGCATTGCGGACCCGGCGACTCGGCGACTGCTTATCATGTCGCGCCCCAGCAACCTCACCACGGCGTTGGCGACCGCCAGTGAGATCGAGAATGCCCCGCCCGTGAAGCGCGTCCGCCAAGTGTAGCCTGTTGCCGCGACACCACTGGAAGGCGCCGGCGATGCACCAAACCCCAGCCCGCTGATCACTTATTTCGCGGATCCGCGCCGTGCAGTCTGGCCCGGCACGGCAACAGCCCAGACGTCCACATCGATGGCCGTGGCGCTTTGGCAAGGATCCCCGAAGACGGGCAGGACTGAGATGCAGCGGACGCGCGACGGGCGCCCCATTTGCAGCCAATGCAAGGAGGTTGGCATCGTTTCCCGAGACTGCGACGCTTGAGTTTGGACGGCGTGCGCGCGAGGTGTCCATCCGACGCGGCCAACAACATCCTGCTCGGCGACTACGCAGCTACCAACAAACACCCTGTTCGACGCGGCCTACTTGGAGGGGCCCCCGCGTGAACCTGCACGTCCGCCCTGCCGCGCATGTTTCGGTTCCTCACCATGAGTGGTACGAAGCACTGCATGAAGGAGTCGGGCATAGCGCCTAGCGGGGAGAGCGCACTCAGCCAGCGGGGACTTCCCTCCTCACCAGGTAGACGTACCCGGCGCTTCAGGAGGAGGCCATCCAGGCCATCGCGACGACGCGGTTGCCGGATGGCTACGGCGACGCGGGAGCGGTGCGCGTGTCCAGCCGGGCGGCCCACAACGCTCAACCGTCCCGGTCACCGCCACC